TGTTTCCCCAGGGGAACTCTGAGCCATGGCTTACAGATGCAAGGGGCAAGTGGGGCTCAAGGCTCTCCATGGGGAGGTGTCTTGCTGGGGGGGGGGGGGGGAAGCACTGGGGTCGGGGTTCTAGAACCAGGAGGCCCTGCAGCTTGTTCCCCTTTTCTGGGGCATGTCTGGAGGGAGCCCCCTGGTGGAGGCTGCTGCACCTCGGACTGGCTTTCCCACAGCAGCCACAGTGACCCAAGCGCCCCCCCCACCCCCCACCCCGTCAGCGTGCAGACGTGCAGACGTGCTGGAGCAGGGCCCGTTCGAAATGGAGACACGGGGGGGGGGACCCTCCGCCTTACACACACACACACACCCCTTGCAGAGAGGGCCCCCGGTTTGCTGCCCAGACCAGGTGGGCCTCTGTTCCCAGGGGGCTGCTCGCCACTCCTCCCCTCCCGAGGGACCAAAGTGGTCAGGAGGAGGGATGCTTCCCTGCTGCAGAGCCAGGCCAGGGAAGGCGCTCAGGCCGGGGAAACCCCCCGTATTCCGTGCCCTCCGTGGCTGAGTGCGCCTCTTGCTGTTCAGAGGGGCTCCAAATGTTTACCGGATAACGAGCTTTCTTGTTATGGTTGCAGTCCAGGGCTATTTGTGGGCAGGAACGCACAGGAAGGGAGTTCCGGCCGGCTTCAGAGTTGGCCACGCCCACTACAGCCAAAACCTCTGAGTGTATAGGGAAGGCCTGGAGAGCGACCCCCCCCCCCGTAAGTCCAAGGTGAGCAGGCCAGGGGGGGGCTCTGGAAGGATCGGGGAGGCATTTAAACTGCGGGGCACCCAGGCAAACCAAGGGGATGTGCTGTCGGGGGTGTAGCCTAATATGGTAATGAGTTTCTGCTGTTGGGTGTGGCCTATTATGCTAATGAGTTCCTGCTCGGCTTTTTCTACAAAAAAACCCTGTGGTTGCCAGCCTCCAGGTGGAGCCAGGAGTTCTCCTGGAATTCCAGCTGATCCCCAGACTCCAGGCATCCCTTCCCCTGGAGAAAGCGGCTGCTTTGGAGCCTGTACTCTCTGGCGTCACGTCCCTCACGAGCGCCCTCCCCTCTCCAAACTCTGCCCTCTGCCCGGCTCCAGTCCCAAGCCACCAGGAAGTTCCCAACCCAAAGTTGGCAACCCCATTTCTTCTACTTCCCCTTCAAAATGGCATTCTGAAGACATGTCAGTGAAGGGCCACCGCAGAAGTCAGTCACTGCAGCTCCCCCCTTCCCCCCCCCCATGGGGAAACAAGATCTGTCGTGGCTGAGATAAGCCCTGCTCCCCCGGAGCCTACCACCCCTGCCCACATCTGGAAAACTACTCCCCCCCCCGCTCCGGCATCTGGTTCTGCAGCCCAGCCAAAACAGACATGGAAACTGTCCTGGCTGGTTGCCTGGCAGGCCCCTTCCGGGAGAGTGGGAAGGGGTACCCTTTGGGGGTCTCTGGGGGCAGGAGGGTCTGAGGGGGGCAGCTGCTGGTCCAGACCCTGGCTGCAGTGGGAGGCACTGGCCCCCTTCCTCACCACTGCGACCTTCCTTTTGCTCAGCTAGAGGGTGGGCGCCCAGCCAGTCCAGCCGCGCGCAGGACTGCTTTGGCCGAGGCTTCTCCACCCGCTGCCCTCCCTAAACCCGCGGCACTGCCAGGACGTCTCTTCCAGGCCTCTCATTTTCCAGGCTGGATTGCAGGGGTGTGGGTGCCAGCAGCCAGGCGTGTCTTCTTGCCAGAGGGGCTGTTGCAGGGGGCTTGGAGAGTGCGGCATCAGCAGCTGCCCCCAGAGGTGTCCCCTGAGGCAGAGGCAAGTCTGGGGGGGGGGCAGGGAAGAGAGGGAGGGGGCAGGGGAGCCAGCCAGAGTCAGCGAAGCCCCGTTTGCCCACTGGCTGAGACCGTTGTAGTGTGCCCGCAGGAGATCCGGAGGCTGGGCATGGAAGCATTCTCGTGATGTTACGGGGGGGGGGCAGGGGATTCCTGGCTGGACGGGGGGGGCTGGGCGTGCCTCCAGAGGTGGCATCCCGGGCCAGGAGAAGCGAGGGCTCCTTTCTCCCTGGAGCCACACCCCTGAGTCCCCCCCGCCCTCCACACTCCCAGAGGTCTGGCTCTGGGCCATGCTAAGGTACTCTGCACATGCTCGTGGGCACTCTGCTACAGCCTTG